TACTAGAAATGCCAGTGTTGCATTACAACCAAAAAAATATATATGGTCATGCGGCAAAAATTGACTTAAAACGCAGTTGAAAAAGATCGTCTATTTTTTTTCGCTTAATGAAAAAGGCATATTTTAAATGGCTCCGACGTGCAGAAATGGAAGATATTTTCTATACTTTGTAAAATTTGAATATGATTTTCTGCATTTTTTAAACCTAATTGGATAAGCTTTCGATTAAATGTAATTCCAATCCTGTATCATCCAATCAGAAGCCGTATAGGATTCTATTCTGAGTACCATCTTGGGGTAAAAACCTTGCCGGTAAAATGTAAACAAATAATTGCGTTCTTGTTACCTTTAATAGCATATCACAGCCGTGGTAAACATTATTGGAAATTAGGCAGTAGGTTTCTGACTGATCTGAAAAGTGCACACACTTTACAACTCATTACTAGTGAGATGCTGACGAATGTAATGTCATTTTGTAAGGTGCTGAGTAGAAGGGAAATGTGTGAAGTAGACAAAATGTAATTCTGTTAATATAAAAATAAGGAGATGTGGTATGATTGCCAATGAGACAACTATCCTCCCTAGTTCAAATGGAGTGGCTGTAAGCAATTATAGGCAATCGTACGGCCTTCAACATTGAGAAAAAAACCCATATGGTATAGTCGGCTATAAAAGGCCCCGACATGAAAAATATGAAACAATTAAATTGAGAAAACTACCGGCTAATTTATAGCAAAACAATTTACGAAAAAAAAAAACTATTTATGACAGACATGAACCAACCAACAACAACCAGTGAACTACTGGCTCCTGACTTGGGACAGGCACATAAAGAATCTGGCGGGCTTTAAACATTGTGTGAGCGCTCAACCCTCCCATTAACCTGGGACACTGGTGTTACAGCACAACATAAGAACAAACTTTAAAAATCAGTTGAAAAGGGCTTAACTCATCAGATCGATACAATGTTCATTCAACATATTGAAAATACATTGAAAAAAATAGGGATTTAAAATATTCTATTATACATATGCAATTCTGTCTAGACAGGATAGAGTTAGTTTACATGAAAGTTTGGGACATACTAGCAGAACATTTATATCATTATCAATCACATCCTCAATGGGCATGTAATAGTAGTAGTTAAACAATAAATTAAAAACCTTTGGTATTTTGTCATAATGAAATCATGAAGTGACTATTCGCTATTTGGCTACACTAATTGTAACAGGCATTGATTGATTGGTGTTTAACCCTTCTTTCAGAAATTTTGTGCTATTTCGTGGCGGTCAGTTTTTATTGGTGATGGAAGTCGGAGTGCTATGAGAGAACCGTCAACCTTCGGAAGGAAAACTGACAATCCTAGTGTATTAAGTGTGGAGTCGAGTCTAACGTGCCAGCCACGTGCCGGATTCGAACTCTCAACCTCATGCTAGTGATACAGTTGTTCGACTACTTACAACACTCGCCAACCGATGTCCCCAAAGAGGCATCGAAAGTCGTGAAAAAATAACTACTAGGTGGTAGGATTTTTTATGAGACCAATGTACTAAGCATTTTATTGTCTAATTGTCTCTCAAAGTCAAAGACGAAGTAGCGACTACTTACAAAACATTTAAATATTGTGTCCTCAATTTAGTACGAAGGAATCTTTAGGGTGCGCTAGATGTTATTTGGTCACGTTTTGGCGGCAATATTAGAAATTAAATTTATATTTCTTATTTGGAAATAAACCGATAGAAAAAAGTCATGTTCATAGTAAAGTACTAAATGCAAAATAAGATGAGCATGATGGCAATAATGAGGAATCTTCATTTTGATTTTTGAGAGTTTTTTTTCAAAATTCACATTTTTAACTAAACGAGATGCCATACCCTTGATAAACGTTTCACATTGAATGATGGGAATTCCATTCCTCTGGTAGGAGTTGGTGAAGTGATCAACGAGAGTGTTGTAGATTCAAATCTTAACAATGTAGATATGATGTTGCCTGACTTTAAGATTAACAGATATGTATATGTACTTTTCCAGCAGTTTAAAAAATATGTAGTGACCTAGTGTCGTAATTGGGACTATAAAATAGTTTCCTAAGTCTTGTATGATATCGATAAAAATAGATAAATAAATAAATAAGTAAATAAAAAGAATAATAATGAGATAAGTTTGAATAATTGATGACAACGAGTCAACATTGATCATATAAATTTGCTTAATTTGATAGTTAACTCCTGTTTAAACATATGATCGATTTCTCAAGCATACGTTAACGACTATTCACCCACGAAAACTTACTTGGATGTAAAGTTTATATGTATATTATTAAATAAAATATACATAATAGAAGAATTATGTAGATGTCTGTCTTAGCATCAGAGACAATTAATTTTGAATAAACGGCTTCTTGTTCTCAGGGGACTTCTTCATATGAAACATTTCAACAAGTTTTAAACATCTTTTCTTATATTCTGGGACACAATGAGTCATGTTGCTGTACATGTAACCGGGTATGTAACCGATATATCAAAAATATGATAAACAGTTGAATAATATTTCCTGTGGAAAGAGCCCATTTTAGTTTAAGCTTCTTACTCAGGCGTACGGAGTGCTTGAGTTGTCTGTTACAGTGCTATTTTTGATGATAGTAAATTAATATCCAGCAAATATCTATAATAATACTTTACAAAATATTTTTTCGGCAGTTTTCACACAAACGCTTTCATTCAACACATACATTTCTAAATAATATGCGCTCTATTTGCTCGTCACCATGAAATTCTCAAAACTCGATCGAATCGATGTTTTTAAATAAAAATGTGTTACTTGCTATCATTCACGTCCTGTAGGCACACTTCCAAATTAAACAAGAGATAAATAAAACACAACTCTTAAATGGAAACTGCTACTTTGAAATATTTAAACGATACACTGTAAAATGTGCATAGCGTCAATTTTTTCAAACATCTTTGGACCAATCCTATAAGCCTATCAACTTTCTAAGCTATACTTATGGTAAATAGTAAACACTTTGAGTGACATTTATGTCATATTTAGTTAATGGTATTAAATGTTCTTTGATTCTAAAACTTTTAAAAAAAATTTCTACACATATACAAAATATCTGTTTGCTTAGACAAGTCATAGATAGGGACAATTCACATACGAGATATCACAGTAGCCCCAAAACATACTCTAAAAAGTAGTCATAGAACTGAAAGATAATGAAGTTTTTTTTAAATCTTCGTACCTACGGGAATGGTCTAGAAAATCAATTATCATCGGTATGAACACAATCGATTGATCCGATCATTTTCTCTCCCTGTTTTCTGCGTTTCCAGGATAGAATTTAATTTCTGCAATCAGAATGGAAGATGAAAACAAAATGTGTCAAGACTTAGTCTTTTTCTTTTGTATTACCTCACAGGTTTTTGCGCCGTTTATTTTGTCAACGCTGCATTTGTATAGCAGTTTTTTCGCAATCGCGATCAGTTACAATGTATACAATATATATGTTTACTTTTAAAACTGCTCCCTGCTTTTATACTAAATATATCATCTACTTTTGAAGTTGAAATATTCAATCAACTTTACCAAAAAAAAAACACCGAAAACAAGAAGAAGAGAAATAAAAGAACATCGTTCCAATGTCCCCCGCGTTGCACATATTTTATATTTCCAAGGGGCATAACTCTTTAAAAAAATTCGATCTTCCACCATTATAGAACTTGTCCAAGATATTGCTGATATTAACCTATAGTATAAGTTTTATAAAATTCTGGCAAGGATTGTACCCGTGAGAGCGCTAACGAGGCCATTTTCCATTAATTTAACATTTCCAAGAAACTTAACTCTTTAAAAAAAGTCGATCGTCCACCATTATAGAACTTGTCCGAGATATTGCTGATATTAACCTATAGTATAAGTTTTATAAAAATTTGGCAAGAATTGTAGCCGTGAAAGCACTAACGAGGCCATTTTCCATTAATTTAATATTTTCAAGGGACTTACATCTTTAAAAAAGTCGATCGTCCACCATTATAGAACTTGTCCGAGATATTGCTGATATATATACCTATAGTATAAGTTTCATAAAAATCTGGCAAGAATTGTAGCCGTGAGAGCGCTAACGATGCCATTTTCCATAAATTTAATATTTCCAGGGGGCTTAACTCTTTTAAAAAAAAGTCGATCGGCTACCATTATAGAACTTGTCCTAGATATTGCTGATACTAACCTATATCATAAGTTTTATAAAAAATATGGCGAGACTTGTACCGTTGAGAGCGCTAACGAGACCGGACGGACGGACGCCCGGTATTTCCATAACCCCCGCAACGCGTTACGCGGGAGACAAAAAAAAAACCAAAAAACAAGAAAAAAAGAAAAAGAAAAACGGGAATTTACATGACGTCATACACCTACGTCATTGGCGTTACCTTGGAATATCTATATTTAGGTACACGGACGCTGTTCCAAATCTTATATTAACCTCGATCGTGATTTTTGCCGCGGTGAATACAATGTTTTATCAAAGAAGATTTCCTATGTTTTTAGCAAATGAGAAAACAGAAAATTAATAGTCATATAATATATATGTTTACAGTGTTTGCACTACATTGTTTATTCATTATTTTAACTGTGTATCTGTTAGAATATTTTTTTTTTGTAAAATCATCGTAAAATTAATTTGTATATTTTTGTTTCTATTGAAAGGCAAATACATATATAGCAAAATGTTTTGTGTTAAAAACAAAACAAAACAAAAAACGCTCATACGGGCCAATTCTATATTTATCTCCTGACAGCCTTTAATTCTAACAACGACCTCTTACAGAGATTACCTGTTATCTACTAACAATTATCCGTTATACAGAAAACGATGTAAGGTTTTAAATTAAATACCTCGATTATATTCAACATGTGAAGTAAGTGATATATGATACGGTTATTCTAAATATAAACAGGCTGTTATCACCTTGAACTGTCATAGTATCGTACCAGAAATGACTGCTGAACATACCCTTGGCAAATATTTCACATTGAATGATGGGAATTCCATTCCACTAGTAGGGCTTGGTACCTCCAGGGTAAGTAACTTAATAGTTAGGTTGCCCCCTCCCCCCCTTAACATATTCAGTATGCTTCGGAATATTGTCAAACTTGTTAAAAACGACCGGGTACCAGTTTACTTAATGATATCCTTTTCTCTGCACTTCTTGTTTCCGATGACTTAATTTGTAGTGACAATTAACTTTTGTTATACAGCATCAAACTAATCACTGGGATAATTAACTACAATTATAAATAGTTTGTATCAATCATATTCCCATAACCTATATTTACATATTTACTATGTATATTATAGAGGGTGACTATGGGGTATATCATTCAGTTAGCAATATTAAGTATTATAAATGTCTATATATCAAACTGAAAACCCTTTGTTTCTCATTATTTCTATTTTCGTCATGTTTTTTTTTTTTTTTTTTTTTTTTTTTTTTTTTTTTTTTTTATTTCTTTGATTTAAATTGGGTAAGTTGACTATGCTTATTTTGTGTATGTTAAATAAATAATACCGATAGAAATAGAAAGGGAATAGATTCATAAGGGCCGATGACAGTATCACAGCTACATTCTATTTATATCAGAAGGGCCGATGACAGTATCACTGCTACATTCTATTTATATCAGGACCGATGACAGTTTCACTGCTACGTTCTATTTATACCAGAAGGACCGATGACAGTTTCACAATGGGAACTTCTACATTTTAAATTAAGGATTACCTAAGAATTAGTCAAAATTGAAAGTTAGTTCATATTTACATTTTATCAGCTCATGCATTTTATTGACTCTGAAATTTGTTTATATTACCTAACGTATGTCATCGTCAAGCTACAGATGTAGCGTAGTTTTGTTGAAATCTAGATACAAAATTATCTAATTACATTACATGTATGTTTCATAATAATCCAGACTTTTGATTAGCTGACAACAATCGAGTGGCATTCCAAAATTAGATTTCATTTCCAATAAAATTCAACATTCATGACACGTGTTTCCCTTGACTATGTCACAATAATTATTATATTAATTGGCTAACAACAATCGTGCGTCATTCAAAAATTAACCTTCATATCAAAATGAATTTTAAATTCGTGATGACACGTGCCTCCTCAAAAAAGTGCACAGGTAAATAATAGAAAAACTTGATAAAACTTTTTTGCCTTGGTGTTATTAACATAAAAATGTAATTATAAGAAATGAATGCTTCTTTTTGTAATTTTATTGGGGTGTAAAAGTGTTGACGTGCACACATTTTTAGAATGCTTCGGTCAACACTTTTAAACCCAGTAAAATTACAAAAAGAAGCATTCATTTCTTGAATGATGTACAGAAAACAAACGAACAATTTTATATAATAACGCTTTATTTCACGGTTTTAGCATAAGAAAGCATTTATAAGAATTGAATGTAATTTTATAGGGTTTTAAAAGCGTTGATCGTATGTACATTTTTGTATGAAGTGTTTCCATTCAAAATATGCTCCGGTCAACATTTTTCCTCTAATAAAATTACAAATTGAAGCATTAAATTCTTAAGTAATGTATTTAAGTAATTTTATGTGTATTTTTAGATTTTACCAAATGAAACAATTGATGTGATCACTACCGCTGTTGCTATTGGTTACCGTCACTTTGATACGTCAGAATTCTACAAAAATAAAACACAGTTAGGCGACGGTCTACGACAAGTTATATTTTCGGGAAAGCTTAAAAGAGAGGACGTGTTTATTACAGCAAAGGTAATATTCGTGTAAAATTAAACAACATAGCAACACAATATCTAAAATACAATGAAATGCAAAAAACAATCTACACGTTAAATTTGCTTCTGTTGCGACAACTCTAGTTTATATGTAATGCTAGGGTGTGTGGTTAAAATAAACTATAGATACATTTAATAAGAAAAGTATCGTACCACACTCGCAACAGGAGAATAATCTATATTCAAAATCACTATGATATGCATCTGATAATGATGAACTAGTTGCTTTTAATAAATATAATGTGGTATGATTACCAGTGAGAAAACTTTTCACCAAATACATGTACCAAATAACGTAGAAGTTAGCAACTATAGGTCACCGTATAATTTTGTATAGTTCACTCCCTTTTTGTGTGAATTTGCCTGATTTCAGTCAAGAAAATAGTTTTTAAAGGACATACAAGTACACACTATGTAAAACCAAAATTCAATCGTTGAACAGGTATTTCACTTGAAACAGATTAATCAAACATTCAGTCATGTGCTAGAATTTAAATTGTGCAGCTTAATGGTTAAACAGTTGTGCGAGAACTTATCCTCTCCTCTCTCATTTTCAACCAATATAAGGTACTTGGAAGACCGTACAATACAAATTAGTTCAGAATAAGTAATATCTGTATCTGATTTAGGATGGTTCTCTCCTTTGCAACATACGGGTATCTGAGACACCCTTGTTGTCATATATTTGTCAGAGCCAAACAGATAAAGGACAGGGAACCAGTCTTTATCTGATTGAAAAACAGATGATGGTTCCACACTTCGCATACAGGATCTGACAACGATCCATTCTACTTTCTGTTTTAAAGACCTTTCGGAATCCTTTGGTTTTGTCGTAATGATACATACTTTCATAAATTTGAAGGCAGAAATTTACTTGGCTAGTGTAAAAATTACCAGAATAGAAAGTAAAAAAGGAACATTAAAGAGGTCCTTGTAAAGCAAAACATTGAGACAGGATCTGTATTTAATCATATAGCGCTTAAAATGATGTATCATTCTTTCTTTTACTCTTAAATATCAGTGTGTTTAAACTAATACATTTTTTAGAGAAACAGTGCATATACAATGCCAAAAGTTAAATTAAGCTGGAAATTTAAATCGCGAGACTATAAAAGAAACCCAAGCTCTCGACGGAAACAAACGGAACCTGAAAGGATAAAGATTATCCTTCTAAATAAAAACTAACCCTATAGAAAAAAATGATATACCGCAATTTGTATAATTTGTTATAACATATGACATTGAGGTCTTAAACTCCTGCCAGGGAACTGATCACCAGACATAAATATTTGCAGTAAAACATTTTCCGTGATGCAGTAATCAAGCAAAACATGTTGAAGGCCGTATAATGGCTTATTGTTGTTGACATGAACGTCATTTAGATTATGGTTGATAGATATATCATTGGCAATCAAACAACATCTCCATATTACTAGTATTAAGTTTTTTTTCTGTAATTAGGGGGTAAACATATAGTGGGAAACTTTTGATTTTCTTGCTGTGTTAAAATATTCTAATTAAATAATGATTATATGTTTATCATTGACTATGGAAAAAAGTCGTCAAAGCTAGTTAGTGCACTGTGTATTCAACTTATGCTACTATTTCACAGCGTCAATATTAAACACAGCATTACTTTTATCAATATACGATCTCAAAGAATTCATAATTTGAATTTACATTGGAAACATCTTATTTTAGAAACTTCTTGTGTCTTTTGTATTACATTCAGACGACACTGGTTATTTTTTTACTTCCGATTGCTCTGCTACTGCGACTATATAAGCCCCGTCTTACTACCTGAATATACTATTGATTTACGGGTGGAACACATCTTAAAATGTATTAAACACAGCTGAGATGAATATTGGCAGATCTCACGCATTTTATTGACATCAGTACTTATAACTATCAGACAGTTGTATGCTTTTCTAAAAATAATCATTCCAACTCTATGAAAAGCTTTTTCGTTATTTTAAAATATTCTTACAGAAAGTCTAATTTATATTCTAAGTATATGTACTTGAAAAAGGGCTTATATCCATCTGATGAGTGAAGCCTTTTTCAACTGACTTTTATAGTTCGTTCTTATGTTGTACTGTTACACCACTGTCCCAGGTTAGGGGAGGGTTGGGATCCCGCCAATATGTTTAACCCCGCCACATTCTGTATGTATGTGTCTGTCCCAAGCCAGGAGCCTGTAATTCAGTGGTTGTCGTTTGTTGCTGTGTTACATATTTGTTTTTCGTTCATTTTTTTGTACATTAATTAGGCCGTTAGTTTTCTCGTTTGAATTGTTTTACATTTGTGATTTCGGGGTTTTTCATAACTGACTATGCGGTATGGGCTTTGCTCATAGTTGAAGGCCGTATGGTGACCTATAGCTGTTAATTTCTGTGTCATTTGGTCTCTTGAAGAGAGTTGTCTCATTGGCAATCATACCACATCTTCTTTTTTATAATTACATAAGAAGACTAACAACAACTATCGAGGTCATTAGCTGATTTGTTAGAAGGTACAAAGACAAAACGTAATCTATGGTACAAATAGGAGACTACATTTCTTTCAAAAAACCTAACACTGATAGTAAATATTGTAATTTATATTTAGTTAGCGCCATGCTATGAGGCATTTGGAGACATTGAAAGATCACTGAAAGAGTTTCTATTAACATTACAACTAGAATATGTTGACCTGTGTCTTCTACACTTTCCAATACAGTTTAAGGTAAATGTTATGTTATCTTAAACAAAGAAACACCAGGAACGATGAGAAAGAGGATAAAGTCTAATCATCCTAGTACAAAATGTGATGTCAGATTTACATCGTAATCATGTCAATATTCACAATTTAATTTAAGATGATAATATTATATTGAATATCAGCAAATGTTGGTGTAACCCTTTAAAACAGAAAATATATTGAACTCTCCTTAACTTGGTTGTAAAAAAAAAACATTTAAAAAACCCTGCGATATTCATATAGTTTGTCTCGCAAATTGTACATTACTATCTAAACTGGAAGAGAGCTGATACGGATTTTGCACGTGAGTGTTGATATGGCCCTCCCCTTGAAATGCACCGGAAGCCGATGTCCCGGGAAAATAACCTGTTATTTTGCCCTGTTCTCGCTGACGTAATACGCAGTAGGACAACTGTTCTTTACGTATTTCGATGCCAAAAACTAGCGAGAATAGGATGTAAAAATATTTAGAAAATCGAAGGATATGTATTTTTTTTGTTCCCATTTTTGATATCGCTTTTTAATTCTACAGTGCAGTAAATCAAAATCTGAAATTCTATGTTCAGATATAAAAAAATAAGATTTCCTTTTATTTTAATGTTCGAAAATGATAATAATTTGTAAACTCATGTATTTTTTCTCTCATAGATGTGCTTACAATCAACAGTATTTACCGTCTGTACTTTGCCATAAACGAATAAAATTTTTTTACAAAAGCCCGCCATTTTTCAGTTGACGTCGGCCGACACAAAATAGTCCAATTTTTGAGCGCCGTCGAATCACATTTTGGCCAAAAAGGCACATCCGGTTGTCCTACTGAAGGGTTCATAACAACAATTATGGACGAATAATATGCTCGTTTAGTCAACACCGAGCAAAATGACATCTGATGTTGGTTTTTTTTTGTTAAAGAAAAAAGAACACTTAGTCTAACACTAAAATAAATATGATATTGACATCATAATATTCATGGACTATAGTTTAAACGGTTTGGGAGCTTGGTAGTTTATAAATTGAGTAATATGACTCTACGTATCTTGATAGAGAATAATTTTTTTGTTTGTTTAAAAAGTCACAATGGAATTTTGGACAATTCTTTTTTCATATTGCACTTACATGATCGAGCAACAAGACGGGTGCCACACGTAAAGCAAGGTTTGCTTACCCTTCCGGAGCACCCCGATTTTTGGTTGGGTTCGTGTTGCTAAGTCTTTTTTTTATGTAATGTGTTTTTTACTATTGTTTGTCTTTTCGTGGTATTTCTTTTTTTGCCATGGCATTGTTAGTTTTTTTTTTTTCACTTATCAGTTTGAATTTCCATGGTAGCTTTCGTCTCTCTTCTATAATCTTTAAATATAGGAATTGATAAAGCATCAACCTTAAACTAGTTCTCTCCCTAGCAGCATACGGGTAAATAAGTAACCTTTCTAGATAATGGAAAGGGAACCAGTCTAGGTCCAACCTCAAATGCATTCTTTGTTTAAGGTTGTTTCTCTTTATTTCAAATTCCATTCTGATTTTCAGTAGTTGTCGTTTGTTGATGTGGTTCATAAGTGTTTCTCGTTTCTCGTTTTTTATATAGATTAGACCGTTGGTTTTCCCGTTTGAATGGTTTTACACTAGTAATTTTTGGGGCCCTTTATAGCTTACTGTTCGGTGTGAGCCAAGGCTCCGTGTTGAAGACAGTACTGTGACCTATAATGGTTTACTTTTATAAATTTTGACTTGGATGGAGAGTTGTCTCATTGGCACTTATACCACATCTTCTTATATCTATGAAATATTGAATACATGTATATGACAGACGAGTCAATATTTAAACGATTATTTAAACGATTATTTAAAACTGTTTACACCATTTCACCGATAGTCTTAACTGAAAGTGCTTTTTTGACGAACATGTCACTTTTTATATATACAGAAGGGGTCAGCAAAGTGTAACGACCACACAAAGCTACATGCATATATAAATGGAAAGTGTGACCATGAACAGCTGTGGAAAGTAAGTATACATTGGTGATCCAGGCCGGATTGAGGCTCAACGTTTGATTTGTATTCTTTTTTATCATATTTTATGTTATTTTTTTTTAAATCTTAACTCTCTTGTTCCAAAGGGCAAAGGCGAAATTTCCTAATCACTTGTAATTTTAATCCGATGTTAGCCTTTAAAGAAAAAAAAAATCAAGCATCCAGTTTTCCTACTGATCAACAAATGCGATCTCCTTCAGTAAAATTAAACACTGGTGGTGTAAAATCAGTACAAATTTAAATTTTAAAAATCCTGAAAAAAAATAATGCAAAATGTAGCGTCAAATATGGCCGCCGCCGATACTTGAAATGAAAACGATTGAACAAATAATATAATTCAACGAGAAAAAAAAACATACACAAATCAAGTAAATTGACAACCACTTTAAATCTTAACTCTCTTGTTCCAAAGGGCAAGTGCGAAATTTCCTAATCACTTGTAATTTTAATCCGATGTTAGCCTTTAAAGAAAAAAAATCTAGCATCCAGTGTTCCTACTGATCAACAAATGCGATCTCCTTCTGTAAAATTAAACACTGGTGGTGTAAAATCAGTACAAATTTAAATTTTAAAAATCCTGAAAAAAAATAATGCAAAATGTGGCGTCAAATATGGCCGCCGCCGATACTTGAAATGAAAACGATTGAACAAATAATTCAACGAGAAAAAAAAACATACACAAATCAAGTAAATTGACAACCACTTTAAATCTTAACTCTCTTGTTCCAAAGGGCAAGTGCGAAATTTCCTAATCACTTGTAATTTTAATCCGATGTTAGCCTTTAAAGAAAAAAAATCTAGCATCCAGTGTTCCTACTGATCAACAAATGCGATCTCCTTCTGTAAAATTAAACACTGGTGGTGTAAAATCAGTACAAATTTAAATTTTAAAAATCCTGAAAAAAAATAATGCAAAATGTGGCGTCAAATATGGCCGCCGCCGATACTTGAAATGAAAACGATTGAACAAATAATTCAACGAGAAAAAAAAACATACACAAATCCAGTAAATTGACAACCACTTTCAAACCAAACATTTTCCTACGAGTTAAGATATTTTGATATATATATCATTTGAACTTTCGGGGTCAGTGTGAGATCTGTAGATACCTAACATTAAATGTGCTAGCTGAATGCTCCTTTCAGAGTTCGTATTTTTTATCTTTATTTTTCTTATTAAGTGTATGTTATTCCTGATTGCTTGTTGTTTGTTTTATGACCAGTGTCATATATTTCACGTAAATTTAAGACGAAAACAAATTACGAATATATTAAATAGGACGGTAGGGTTTGAAATGTGGGTCGACCGAGATAAAGGGCGGGAAATTTAGACTTCTACTGGAAAAAGGGTGAAGTTTGTATAGGGGCAGAAATAATCCTTTGTAAATTTTTCAGCTTATTATCTTCATTCAATAAGGAGAAAATATTTAAACAGTTTTGATTATTTTTACTTTACAGGAAATGGAAGACGTCGTTGAAAAAAGTTTAGCTAGGTCTATTGGAGTCTCTAACTTTAATCAACAACAAATACAAAATATAATACAGAAATGTAAAATACCCCCGGCTGTTCTACAGGTAATTACAGTTTAAATTCCTGGTTTTTGGCGGGTTTGGTGTTACAGTCTTAAAAAAAAAAGGTGCCCCCCCCAAGACTTATTACTTTATTTGTTCAAATAATGTTCAACATATCAATGTAACTTTTTATTCTTTTCAATGTCTTGCCATTGCTTTGGATTTAATGCTGACATGTTTATCTTACATTTAAAAAAAAAAATATCTGAACATTTCCCACTGTTTTTGTAAGTTAACGAATCTTTCCTTGAATTCAACAAATATTCCTAATTGGTCGTTAGATTATGATAGCCTAAACTATGGAGAAAACGTAGAGGAACAACAACCTAACAACAAAAAAATAACCAAGTGGCATTTGAATGTCTAAATGGGTCACCTACTGTACAGAAGACAAGTTTCCATACTTAATGCCAAAATCTGCAATCTTTTTTTTTGGCGTGCAGTTTCAATATTGCTATTTTTCAGACGGTATTTTTCAGGGCCCTATTTGCAATATTTTATTTTCGCATTCGTCTTGACTCGAACTACCCGACATTTCCAGTTCTTATCCACATACTAATTTACACTGATGTAATAAAGAAAAATAATTCCGGAATGCAATCAATCGATGAACGGAGTTTGGTATTGTTCTGATTTCCTTAAAATTCAATTGACGCGAAGAGATAGAGATGCGATGTAATTAAAATCGCACTGGTAGAAAAATAAACCTCCTACACAATTTTCAACTTCACAGAAGTTTAATGCCTTCTAATGAATCCAAAAGAGATAACCAAATTTTCGCTAACAACAACAAGTTCCTTAATCGATACAGCACATAAAGATGTATACAGCGATCACATTTCTTCCTCTTCAGATAATGTATATAATTGTGTCTATTTGAAGGGGTACTTCTGTAAAACAACGTCTTAATTTTACGAAATAAAATTTTTCGAATCTTCCCTTTAAATGTTCACATTGCATCCACCGCTTTTTTTTCTCCGCAATTTTATCTAATGTCTCAAAATTATTTTCCATAGCGTGGAGAAGCACATTCTTTATTTTTTAATTGTACCATTTATTTTTCAGACAGAATGTCATGCATATCTACAAATAAAAGGTCTTGTAAAATTTTGTCAAGATGAAGGAATATTTGTAATAGCGTTTGCGCCATTTGGATCGCCAGGTCTCTCCAAGCACAAACCTTGGTAAGGATTAAACTTTTACGTGTCAACGGAAATATCGATTAAATAATATTAAATTATCAATAGATTTCTATCCCATTTGTGATATTAATAAAGATAAAGAGATGAGGTATGATAGCCAATGAGACAACTATCCACACAAGTTCACATGAAGTGGATGTAAGCAATTTTAGGCAACCGTACAGCCTTCAACAATGAGGAACATCCATACCGTATAGTCGGCTATAAAAGGCCTAGACATGAAAAATATGAAACAATTCAATTCAATTGAGAAAACTATTGACCTAATTCATAACAAAACAATTTACAAAAATGAAATATGACAGACAAGAACCAATGAAAACCACTGAACTACAGGCTCCTGAATTAGGACAGGCACATAAAGTATGTGGCGGGGTTAAACCTGTTTATGAATGCCCAGCCCTCCCGTAACCTGGGACAGTGGTGTTACAGCACAACCTAAGAACAACCTGTAAACAATCAGTGGAAAAGGCTTAACTCATCAGATCGATACAAAGAAGAAAACAATAACACAGACCGGACGTGGCAGGGTATGTATACATCCCTAACAACAAAAGACACAAAGTACAGATATGAGAGTATTCACAGTTACTGACAACTAGTTTAAAGCCAATAACAACTCATAAAAGAAATCATGTATCTAAGACTAATATATCAATCGGTACACATTCAACATCCAATGGATTTTGTGTAAAGACGTCATTAACAGCCAGTATTTGTGTGTTTCTTTCTCCGATATTTTTATGATTTGGTTTGGTTTTTCAATGTCAGCTATAATTCTTGTCGATGACGGTTACATTTGCAAGTGTCATTCAGTCGAAGATAAAATAGATTAGAATGTACTGTAAATCCAGAAAATAAGGGAGATAATTCAGAAAATGCTTTGTCTAACTGATCGAAGAATTGCAACAAGTTTGAGCTTTCTAAAAAGCTGTGGACTGCTTCGCTCTATCCTAATTTAAGGTAATATGTGTGCATGTGGTTCTTGGTTTAGTATTGGAAATGTGGTATTTTTAGATATTGATTGATATAAAATGGATGTCTTAGACTTGGAATATCAATTTTTGTATATATATTAAGATGAACTTTTCTGAAATTGTAAACTGGCTGTTCAGTGTTTAGATGCGTTATACACCCATGCTTTTGAAATTTTGTTCACTTTACTTGTTGAAAATTTAAAACATTTACAAATAGACACGACTCTAGAGGTGTGCATCTCTGGAGGTGTGCCTAAATTGGCAGAAGTTATACAGATAATGCATTTTTGTAAACATTGTATAGGAACATTGTTTAGCAAAATAAATCGTGCATATTGCAGATTAACAAAACAAATAAACACGTAATAATAATTGATATATTTCAATATTGAATTTCAATGTGCAATATATGCATAATAAAACGAACATGAATTAATGACAGTTGATCGGAACTGAAATACACATAGTTAATTTTCCGGCATTTGATGTCTTATCCTGACACGGGAAAAGTCTGTAATTCGTTATCTCATTTAAGCCAATAGCTGTTGCTGTATCTCAGCTGCATCATAAAGCAACCAATTAGAATCTATGTGTGATAAGTAATTATTTCAAGATGGCGTGTATATCGACTGAAACTAATAGCTCCGCACCGTGATGCGAAGCAATGACCCAAAACTTCTGAAATTAATTTTTTAAATAATTAATAGTTTGTTTGTTTTTTTTTTTTTTGTGATTAATTTTGATTTTTGCTCCTTTTTTATATCTATGTGAAGGTATGAACAATCAATTAAACAAGCATTAATGTATGCATAAAATACACAGGTATTTGTCAGTCTATCTAAGTTTAATTATGAATAATACAGATTAACCATACTTCAATATACATCTGCCATATTATATAGGTACAAGGAATGTGATATTCTCAAAGATGAAGTAGTATTAGATCTTGCAAGAAAGTATGGACGGACATCTGCACAGGTTTGTGTACTTCTACTTGATATGCATTCCCTCCAAAATTAAGCGTATTCATTGTTGTGATAAAAAATTCAAGCAATACTACGAAAAAAAAGGCTGGCAATAACCAGAAAACATGAGTTGTTGGTCATACGTTACTTCGAAAACAGTTCTTTGTCACAAATTCAACAAGGAATATCTGCTTTTATTAAAGTACAGACGAACAAGTAAACAATGGGATGTCGTTCAACGCAATAATTGTATGAGAGGTTTTATACTCGATGAGGATTTTGTTTTCCTGACGATTTATCTTTGGTTGTTGCTTATTTTAGAGAAAACAAACAATTTTGGTTAATGTTTATTTCTTATTCTAAATTACCACTCAATGTAACTTATTAGCCATCGGCTTACAAAAAAAAAAAAAAAAAAAAAACAAAATGCCAATCGTCAACAAAGCATCGAAAGCATAACATTTAAAAAAAGCTTATGGAAATATGAAGTTTAATCCTATTTTCAAGTTAAAATTATTTGGTTATTTGGTTAATGTAAAGATGATTATCAACAGCTTTACTCATCAAGTTAAAAAAAATTTAATTAAGAAATCGTATTAAAAAGATTTTCTTTCAGATTCTTTTACGGCATCTCATTCAGCGTGGTATTGGAATGATTCCAAAGAGTTCCGATGGTATCAGATTGAGAGAAAATATAAATGTAAGATGTTGTCAGAGGAAAAGAAAATGATTTCATGTATTTATAGCGAAAAATAAGACAATACTTTAGATTGTAAAAGCACTATACCATGTAATCAGAAATTAACACGTTTTACTTTCTGTGTTATATGTTCGTAAGCAAATAACAAAGCGCAATATTTAAAATATAAAGCGAGACCAGGTAACGGTATAAAATATAAGATCCAGTTGAAATTCAAATGAAACACAAGTAAGATTCATAAGCATCTGTTTCCAACATATAATTTGAAAAGAAATAATTGAGTTGAACCTTGTCTTGAAGAAAGAATCAAGGAATAGCATACAATCACCAAGACTTTTGGGATAAAACAAAATGAGATGTATGAATATAAGACACTTTTCTTTTAACAAAAACCTTTAAAAATAACACACACATTTTATTGATTTTTTTCTAAATATTGACATGAACTGAGAAACTCGTATTATATGGCAACCAGTACTTCGGTAATATATCGAATTTAATGATGCATTTTAGCTGTAAGTAATTCTATGTTTCACGTAATTAAAATTGATCTTGCAACGCAGGCAAATCTAACATTAGACTGGCTGTTCTATTTATGCCAGTTAAGTTCAGACGTTAACGATTTGTTTGTATTTACTATGTCAAACTAATGGTTTCTACGCGTTCCTGGTGACGTTTATACCAGACAAACATGTAGAACACACCGAAATCTAAACTAGACATTTATATTATAGCAAGACTTATGAAACAAAAAGCTTCTATTGAAATCCTTATAATTACATTACATGTATGTTTCATTAAACTCCGCATGAATTTGATCATTCTAGTATCATATTTCATTTCAATATAAAATACAACAGCTATGACTGCACGCACTGTCCGAGACAATGTTAAAATAATACATTGAAAAATAAACAAAAAGCTTGATATAACTCCTAAATTCATGGTTGTAAAAATGTAAGTACAAATGTATAAGAATTGATTGATTCTTTTTATAATTTTATATGTAAAAGCGTTGTTCGTGTGCACATTTTTAATTACAAAATGTGCTTCAATCAAAAGGTTTTACACTCCAATAAAATTATAAAAAGAATACCCGTTCCTTAAATATTAACTCTACTTATGTTTATTATTTCAGATCTTTGGTTTTAGCTTAACAGATGATGATATGGTAATGATGGCCAAGTTAGACAAAGGAGGTCGTATATTTTCTTTTCCTTTGTGAGTTGCTTATCATCCTAACTGCCTGTACGAAATGTGACGCCTGTAAATGATACGGAAACCAGGCGTAGAAATCATTCTTTATCCTGGCGTCATTGCAGTGTTAAGGGAATGCATGTCCAGGCATCAACCAAGCGTAAACCAGGCGGAAACCAAGCGTAACTGAGGCGGAAACCAGGCGCAAAATTAGGCGTAATATTTAAATGAATACGCCTGGTCGACAGAAAACCAGGCGTAATATGCAAATGATTACGCTTCGTTGATAAATAAACCAGGCGTAATATGCAAATGATTACGCTTCGTTGATAAATAAACCAGGCGTAATATCCTTACATAATACTACGCTTAATTTGAATCAGTGTATAATACCGTAGCTGTGTACTTTGTTTACTGGTATTTGATACAAACTTGAACTGTTGCTTAAATTTCTCATTGTTTGACATAAAACATGAAATATTAACCATTGAAGAAGCTATATAGATAAATACATATTAGACAGTAACACTCAGGCTCAAATAAGTTAAAGTTTAGATAAGAATTATGACAATTTTTCTTGAAAAAAAACTAGCATTTTGACTAAGTTGTTTTGAAAATTAATCTCATTTGAACTAAACAAATCAATGATAATACTGCAGTATAACTTGTGAAAGATTTAAATGTTATTATCCAAGGCTGATGGTTTCCAGAATTTGAAATTAATGTTAAAAAATAAAAACTTAATAACTTAGTTACTCACATAATTATTATTTACCATGTACACTACTTTCCTTTCCTTTCACATTTTTCTTTTATCAATTTGATTTCATAATTCCAATTTCAAATCCTTCCAAAGAGCACAAAAAAGCAAATTTCCGCTAAAAATATTAAGCTGCCATATGTCCAACTCTTGCAAGCTAATACCAGAGAGCCAAATTTTGAAAAAAAATTCCCAAGATCCTTTAAACAAAGCATTATAGGTACTATGATTTACGCCCGTAGGAAAATTTACGCCTTGCTTATTTCAATTTACGTCAGGCTTACCACTTTTTTCTACGCCTGTAAGTGCTACACATTTACGTTTCCTGCTCCATTACGCCTGGATCTTGGCACGTAACTACCACTTACGCCTGGTTTACGCCAGATTTCCGAGCGTAGTATGCCTTATAATATCGTACGGGTGTTATTTATGTTAACCGAATGCTCAATTTATCTTTTGTTTGTATAAAACAATTGGGTCTCTGACTCATTGACGTACATCCTGAGACCAATGGATAAAGGAACATGTTAACGTCTACGTCATTAAGTCTTTTTATTTTTATATGTAAAAAGTTAAATCACAAAAAATACTGAACTCCGAGGAAAATTCAAAACAGAAAGTCCCTAATCAAATGGCAAAATTAAAAGCACAAACACATCAAACGAATGGACAACAACTGTCATATTCCTGACTTGGTACAGGCATTTTCTTATGTAGAAAAAGGTGGATTGAGCCTGGTTTTATAGCGCTAAACCTATCACTTGTATGACAGTCGCATCAAACTGCATTATATTGACAACGATGCGTGAATAAAACAAACAGATATAATAGGTAAAAATGTCAAAATAGGGGTACAGCAGTCAACACCATGTCACAATCTTAATCACAACAAAAACAAACAAATATTTAACAAAGTAGCACAAAAAAGCATATATCACATTTAACAACCTCGTTCATTGCTTACTTATTTTTGAATTTTATTTATGTATGCCAAATCAGCCCATAAAGGATCGAGGGACCGAATCGGAATTTTAACATTATCTCTGGCGTAGAATCGCGTGTTTGACGTCAGAATGTAAACGTCACACAGGTAGAGATATAAAATAATTTTGTCGTTCAAAGTATGCAAAATTTATAATAGAACAATAAAACAATGGCGGGATGTTTAAAGTACAGAGACAAGTCATATGTATGTCACCAAAAACAGACCAAACAGTTCTTTGACATACCCCTGGTTCATCAACTTTTTGCTCAGACACTGGTGACGTTTTACAAAGTCTGAGTAGGAGCTGCAAGCTCTTGCATACCGAATAAGTTGGGAAATGTATATCCCATATGCAGGTGAAGTTGGTATATTGCTACTAAGGTGGGGGAAATTGATAATTTCAAAATTAAAATCATCTCGTTTGTCATAGATTCTTGTACTGAGATGATTGTGTATGTCAAATTCGAGGTATAAGTCTAAAAATGAGGCGGAAGAAGCCGTGTCTGTTGTTTCTTTAATTTCTAGTTCTGGGGGATATATTAATGGAACCCAATCAGAAAAGTTCAGATTGTTAATGGAAAGAACATCATCAATATATCTGAAAGTGAAATTAAATAATCTGGCTTCTTTGATCTTCTTGTTTTTGACAAGTGTCTGAAGGAACTCCGATTCATATGAAAATAAGAAGAGGTCGGCAAGGAGAGGCGCACAGTTCGTTCCCAGGAATGCCGACAATTTGTTGAAAAAGTCTACCTCCAAATTCAACAAAAATGTTGTCGATAAAAAACTCCAGTATACTGATCACTTGTTCCTCTGTGAAGCATGTTTTACCCTTTTGTTTGCTATTAACAAAATATGCCTTATGGTATCCCAAAGTAATAAATTTATAGCGTATGCTACCATTTTTATTTTGAAAGGCATTGTGGATTATTTCTTTTACTAATAGGCGATTTTTCAATTTCACATGAGGAATGGTGGTATACAGGGTTGAAAAATCAAAAATTTTGATAGAACTAATTTCAGAAAAAGACCGAGATTTAAAATTATGCAAAAGTTCTTTAGATTTTTTAAGAATCCACACATGATTAATACCACTACGCGAGTAAACAGTTTCACAGTATTTCTGAAGACCCTCTTTCACTACTGACAGTATTTTAGTCAATCTAATGGACAATTCTTTGGTGGAACATGCAGATGAGCCGGCAATGTACCGTTGTTTGTACGGAATTTTGTGAAGATTAGGTATCTTATATAAACAAGGTAAGTCCTCTGATTTGTTGTTCAATGTAATGTTCATTGAAGCCATGAAGGACTTATGATTCGCCAAAATCTCATCCTTGTCAAATGATATGTCTTTGTATGTGGGATTACCTGTTTGCTCATTTATTCCTAATTCTTTTACAAGACATTAGTAGTAATTCGATTTACATACAAAGACAATATTATTTGAAGCTTTGTCCGAAGGAACAACAACATACTTATCATGAAGAGATGATAGACATCTCACAGCGTCTTTGTCTCTGAAAATGGACTTTGGTTGATCATTCACACAGTTTTTCAACTTATGAATACGACGTTTTATTAGAGACCTGATTGTTTTGACCCAATCTGACAAAATGTCCAGTTCAATTTCTTCTCGTTTAGCCCATGCTCTGGCGTAGTCGTCAATGGAATCCATAATTATTTTGAAGTTATAGTTCCAATTGATGTGTTGGGGTTCTCTTAACTTAGGACCATGAGAAATCACCTTTTGGAGATTTTAATGTTGAATTATGTTTAGATCCCCAGTAATAACATGGCCAGAGGGACTGTAATTATAAGGCGAGTGGGAACAGTCACATGCCAAAGTGATTTTTAGGCATTGTTCTATAACTGGGAATATTTTTCAGTTGTATGCCTCGCAAAATTTACCTGTCAATGGCTGTTTTGAAGACAGTTCTCTGTTCAATCATTGGTCTACTATTTGTTTACCTCCTTTGAGAATTGGGTACTGATATGATAAAAAAATATATGGCATTGAAGATGAATATTGTAGGGTGGTATGGTAATTTTCATTTTCTATAATTTCTTTATTAAGTTGTTATTTTG